CCCCCAAAACCCCAAAACCCCTTAGGGTTGATCTTGAATAAAAAACTAAGGTATATAATTAAATCAAGAAATTAACATGAAATAATCAAAGCTTAACGTTAAAATACCAATCTAAATTTTTAATTCCATTAATTCAATTCCAAATCATCTTCTCCTCTTATCGTATCTCGCTTTTCTTTCTTCTTGCTTCTCGATCTTCTTTAAGTCACTTTCAGTAAGAATTTGAACATCTGGAGCCCATCCATTGAATGGCTCATCAATCGGACTCGGCTGAAAGAACTTACTAACATTCTATTAGGCTGGCTGTAATAATTGGTCTAGACTTCTGATCATAGTCTTTACACCATCACCTAGATCTTATGGACCTCCGCCTAGCCTTAATGAGTCCTGGATACCATATCCTCTTGTGGAGGTGCCATATTAATAGTCATTACTCTTGTTATAGTAAACTTGCATTCGCTTATCTTAATGTGCAGTCTGTATTCATTAATTAGATTAAGCATTACCTTTTGAAATTCTAAAATCTATTCTCTGATTTAGTGAGCAATCGGCAGCATAAACTCGCTTCCTAGACCAAGATCAGCACACAGACTCTCTGCGAAATCCTAAATCAGCGTAAAGCTTTATTAATAATTACCTCTGGTGAGTTTCTGGGATTATTAATATCCCATTCGAATTAATCGCGCAAAATTATATTCCCAATTCTAACATTAAGCTTGATCACTCTAATAAGCTCGCCTTCTACTGGCTTGTACCCTCTGAAGGCATTTATCTATTTCTTCATTGAGTTGATGATTTCATTTTCATATGAAGCTGGTAAATTGTGTTCTTCTACCATGATTTTGGCAAAGTTCTCCAGAGTTAAGTAAGGCTCATTCTTATCCCATAAGAAATTTTCTTTGAGTCTCTTCTGCTCTATCTCAAGGTCCATCTTAATAGGAATTAACGAGCCAAAGCCATTGTTTTGATCCAGATCTTCATCTAGTCTGTTATTGGGAGACTTTAGCAAATTCAGCTTAGAGATGTGCATGGTATTCATTCTGGGCTTATTTGACATAAAATTTTCAAGGTAGTTCTCTATAGTCTCAGATATCTTTACCATATGCCCCTTAATTTTACCTTGAAGCCACAAAGACAAAGAAGAATGATGAATTCCTAAACGAGCATTAGTATGTAAATTGAAAAGTATTCTTACCAGTTTCTCTTGCAACCTCAACTTGCTTGATATTGTATTTGTTCATGATTTCCTGGAGTCTAAGTTTGATCTCTTTATCTCTGTCTAAATCGTACATTTAGTTCATTTTTATAAGTTTGAGTCTATTCTAAATTAATAATTAACTTTAATTTATCAACTCAATCAATGATTGACGGGGTTTTGGGGTTTTGGGGAGATCGGAAGAGCA